CTGTCTACCCAAGGAGAGAGGCAGAAGAGAGGGCACACAATTCGATCTTTCGCCCGAGGGGGGGCGTCCTCGCACAAACTACGCGGACTATGCCAGAACGCCGTCGCGCTCAACTACACGACCCTGCCATATCCCACTGCATGGCTGGCGCCGGGCGGTCGCGCCGACACCGCCACGTTTAAGCTGTGCATGGCGGAAGCCGCGAGGGCAATCCAGAAGCGCTTGCACGAAATCGCTTCGCAACCAGACAGCACGCGCCAGGACGAGGACCTCGGGGCGCTGTTCGGCCCCAGCTGCACGCCAGCGCCTGTCCGGGTGGACGAACGGCTGGGGCGTCGACCAGCCCAGGGTGCTCTTCGGGAACGAATGCGCATATACTTCGCGGGCGGTGTCTTCGCGAACGCGATGGGGAAATGCCTTCTTGCGCTAAGAACGCATGGTTTCGGGGCATCCACATTCGGCGAATATTCGGACAATTTAAAGCGGCCATCGGGATGTGCCGATGAGAAGAGCGCGGTGCATGGGAAAAACACGGCGCGTGGGGGCACCGCCAATAAACGGGCATGCGTAGCCCCCGTGTTGGAAAACTACTTGAGAGATACTGTGATCCCAACTGGCCTTTGCCGAGGTGGTGTGGGGTCAGCGCTAGCATTGTGCTGCGTTGCCCATTTTGCTTGGCGTAGAGAAACACTGGCGCGGTGTCAGCTGAACCTCTGGTCTGTGCAAGTTTCCGACATGTGGCGTTGCGCGCAAGTCGCTGTGGCACCGAGATCTAGAAGCAACCAAATCAGCACCGCTTGCACTTGGCGCCCCAACCCTTGCGCTGAGGTGCCCCGCGAAGCCGCTCTCCGCAAGAGCGCAAGCACATGTTGCTGAAGCGACATGCGAATCATCGCAAAAATACCAGGTCGCACGAGAGAGGCCAAGTTGAGGAGGCGACGGGCTTCCAACTTTATAGCTTCCGAACTCCCCTCGTGAACGGTGACCTCGTGGACCCGCGCCCTGCGCCGATGCAGATCGCATCTGCCCTGTAAGAGTGCGGTTTCGGCTCTTGCCGCGGCGTCGATCGAGACAGCAAGGGCAGCTCGCTGTGAGGGCCGAGTTGTTTGCGTGGACGATGTCGCGGTGCATGAACGCGACGACGGCACTGTGTATGGGCGGTGCCTGTATCGCACCAAGGTCGACGGGGTCGCATGAAGCTGCGCGTCAAAGTGGTAGACCGTCGATGCCATGGAGCCCCTGGCAAAATGCATTGCCCAGGAAAGGGCGACAGGCCTGTCCCATTTAGCACTGGCATGTATTGACACTGCGCTGCTGGCGAGCTCTCCATCGCACTCATGCCAGGACGGGCATGGCCCACGGGCTGACGGGGGCCGCTGGCGCCATTCTGGCTTACTACCTGCGGCGACGGGGATGGCGCGTGAAATGATGATGAGGAGGAATAGGGGGGGGGGGGAAGGAGGACGAGGAGGGGGAAGAGGAGGAAGGGGAGTCGGGGGGAGGAGGAGGACGACGATGACTCGAGGGGGTCACGCCTGTCTGTCTGTACTTTCCTGCGCAAGCGTCGAGGCAGAGGTCCTCGTCGTCGCGCTCGTCTCGCTCGTCGAGTTGCGGCGGGAGAAAAAGCCGCGCGTCGCACTCGTTTATTTGAACTGCCCCCTCTTTTTTGTTTTCACATATAACATGCGAATAGCCGGACCCCCCCCCGCCGATCCGAAGACCCATGTAAACGTGAGCTCGCCGACAGACTCCCCGGCCGCGAGGGGGGGGGGGGGCTGGGGGCGGCCGCGCGCGGCAGAGGGGGGCCCCATATGCCCCCGCGCCCCGCCCCGTCCTCCGTCTCTCCACAGGCAAGGGGAGTTGAAGACAGAAGCGAATGAGATGGGGCGGGAGAATGGATGGGCATGGGGGGGGGGGGGGCGACAGGATGGATGGGGAGGAGAATGAGGGCGATGAGGAGGAGAAGGAGGAGGGAGAGGGGGAGGAGGAGGAGCGGCTGGATGGGGGCGAAGAGGAGGAGGGAGAGGAGAGGGGAGGGGAGGAGAGGAGAGGAGAGGAAAGGAGAGGGAAGGACAGGGGACAGGGGGGGCGGCACCCGTGCGAGCGGAAAACCAACTCGGGCGGCCTGGACCGAAGGGCGCTTCGCAGCGCACCAACAGCTAGCTCAGACGGGAGCCAAAACTGAAGCGCACAAAACATTAGTCTGGTACCGCAAATCTGGTACACTAGTCTTGCACCGCTAAACTGCCACAGCTAGTCTGGCACCGCTAGTCTGGCACCGCTAGTCTGGTGCGAATCTTGCGCCGTTAGTCTGGCACATTAGTCTGGCACGTTCGCCTGGTGCCGCTAGTCTGGCGCCGTTGGTCTGGCACCGCTAGTCTCTTACATTCGCCTGGCACCGCTAGTCTGGTATCGCTAGTCTGGTACATTCGTCTGGTATGGTACATTGTTCTTGCGCCGCTAGTCTGGTACCGCTCATCTGGTACATTAGTCTGGTACCGCTAGCTCTTTTCCGCCGGTCTGGTACATGAGTCTGGTACATTAGTCTGGTATGGTACATTAGGCGTGCATTAATCTGGTACCGCTAGTCTGGTACCGCTCGTCTGGTACGTTCGCCAATTACCGCTGGTCTGGTACAATAGTCTGGTACATGTTTCTGGTAACGCTAGTCTTGTACCGCTAGTCTGGCACGTCAATCTGGCGCATAATTCTGGCACGGCTAATCTGGTACATTAATCTGGTAACGCTAGCCTGGTACCGCTAGTCTGGTACAGTCGTCTGGTACCGCTAGCCTGGCACCGCTAGTCTGGTACGTTAGTCTGGTACCGCCAATCTGGTACATTAGCCTGGCACCGCTTGTCTGACACATTAGTTTAATACTGCGAGTCTGGTACCGCTAGTCTGGTACATTAGTCTGGTACGGCTAATCTGGTACCGCTAGTCTGGTACGTTAGTCTGGTCCCGCTAGTCTGGTACATTAGCCTGGCACCGCTAGCCTGGCACCGCTAGTCTGGCACGTTAGTCTGGCACCGCCAATCTGACATCGCTAATATGGTACTTCCGTCGGGCACATGAATCCGGCACATGAGTCCGGTACCATTAGTCTGGCACTTGAGTCTGGTACCGCTAGTCAGGTACACGAGGCGCGCATTACTCTGGCACCGCTAGTCTGGTACCGCTCGTCTGGTACGTTAGCCAAATACCGCTGGCATGGTACATTAGTCTGGTACCGCTAGTCTGGTACCGCTCGTCTGGCACATTCGTCTGGTACCGCTAGTCTGGTACCGCTAGTCTGGTACATTAGTCTGGTACCCGTAGTCTGGTTCATTCGTCTGGCACATTAGTCTGGTGCATTATTCTGGTACCGCGAATGCGGCGCATCAATCTGGCACATGAGTCTGGCGCCGCTAATCTGGCACAATAGTCTGGTACCGCTAGTCTGGCACCTCCACTCTGGCACCGCTAGTCTAGCACCGCTAGTCTGAACATTAGCCTGGCACCGCTCGCATGGCGCCGCTGGTCTGGCACATTAGTCGGGCACTTGAGTCTGGCACCGCTAGTCTGGTACCGCTAGTATGGCACGTTAGTCTGGCACGGCTAGTCTGGTACATCACGTAGTCTGGTGCCGCTAGTTTGGTACATTAGTCTGGTACATGAGTCTGGCACCGCTAGTCTGGCACATTCGTCTGGTACATTAGTCTGGGACACTAGCCTGGCGCCACTAACCTGGCACCGCTAATCTGCTACATTCGTCAGGTATATTAGTATCAGTCTGGTGCGCTAGTCTCGTACCGCCAGTCTGGTACATTCGTCTGGTACGTAAGTCTGGCACCGCTAGCCTGGCACCGCTGGTCTGGCACATTCGTCTGGAACTTCAGTCTGGTACCGCTAGTCTGGTCCCGCTAGTCTGGTAAATTTGCCTGGTACCGCTAGCCTGGTACCGCTTGTCCTGCATGCTTGTCCGGTACGGTAGTCTGGTGCGTTAGCCTGGTACATTAGTCTGGTACAGTAGTCTGGTTCCCCTAGTCTGGTACATTCGTCTGGTACATGAGTCTGGTACATTTTTCTGGCGCCGCTAGCCTGGTACCGCTCATAAGGCCTCCAGACAACTCTCCGCTGAAGTGTGGACAAGACAGCACTGCGAAAAACGACCCTTTTTGGCTGAAATGGGTCGTTTTCTCCGGCGGCACTTGTCATCCAGTCCACGCGCTCAGGCGAGCAACGTCGGGCGGCGGCGCCGCTCCAGGGGGGCGCAATCCAATGCCAAACCCCCGGAGGCGCCTGCCTGAACGCGCTGGGAAAAATCAAAACCATCATCGCACTAAGATCCGCCCCCCTTCCACCAGGCTTGGGCCAACGCGACGAGCGCTCCCTCACAAGGCCCAACGTACCCCAGCGCTCCGGCACCTAGTGCCTAACGCGAGGACGCACAAGCTGGGGCCCGCACAGCAGGACACAACACCCAGCCTGGCCCGACGTACCCCCGCGCTTTGGCACCGAGTGCCCAACGCGAGACCGCCCAGGCCGAGGGCCCAACGTACCCCAGCGCTCTGGCACCGAGTGCCCAGCGCGAGGCCGCTCGAGCCAAGAGGGCCCGACGTACCCCCCGCGCTTTGGCACCGAGTGCCCAACGCGAGACCGCCCAGGCAGAGGGCCCAACGTACCCCAGCGCTCTGGCACCGAGTGCCCAACGCGAGGCCGCTCGAGCTAAGAGCCAACCGCAGCAGCGCTCAGGCTCCGCCCAGCGCAGCCTTGCACCTCGTTTCGGTTTCGAGGGAGGTGGGCGGGGAAAGCGAAACGGAGAGAGTCTAGAGCCAAAACGGCAATGGAACGGATCCTATCCCATCGCCCTTATGCAGAATCATTTGCAATGATTCTCCACATAAGGCCTCCAGACAACTCTCCGCTGAAGTGCGGGCAAGACAGCACTGCGAAAAACGACCCTTTTTGGCTGAAATGGGTCGTTTTCTCCGGCGGCACTTGTCATCCAGTCCACGCGCTCAGGCGAGCAACGTCGGGCTCTGTGGTGCTCTGAACACCGGCATCTGTGGTGCTCTGAACACCGCCCCGAGCTCACGGAGCAAGGACCACTCGTCACGGGTTGGGTCATCCGCTACATTCGCATGGGATTCCACGCGCACGGCATGCAGGCCTATCTGGTACCTTGCAACGTCCAACCAGACCTTGCCGACGACGAGATTGGCGTCCTCGGCGCCCGCCCTGCCGTTCAGCAGCGCATGGAGGACGCCCTGATTGTCTATGGACACCGTGACAAGGGCCCCGCGCAGCAGGTCGGAGAACGTCTCGTACGCCAGCGGGACGGCAAGAAGCTCCTGGAGGCCAATCTGGTGATCGCCTCGCGGGAGGAGCTGGCGCCAGATAGACTCGCCCAGCTGCATGCGCGTGAACAGCCAGCGCCGATCTACGCAGAGAACGGCTGCTAACCAGCGGCTTGCGCCAGCCGCATCCGTCCACAGATGAACGTGCCGCCTCGTTGCATCAGGGACCGAGTGGACAATCGCTGGAACCTCGGCCAAGTGCACGAGCCACCACGCCGCTGCCTGAAGCAGCCAGCAAGACGCACCCTCACCCCGCAGCGGCGCGTGCGCCTGCGCGAAGAAAGGTTTGATGTACGCCCTGCCGACTTTGCCCGCGGTGACGGACACGGCGAACGACAGCCGGCCAGCCATCTTCATAGCTGTCTCTTGGCTGCAGCGCCGATCGCAGAGAATCTGCCAGAGGATGGCCTTGTACTTGACAACCTTGTCGTCGGAAATCTGCACGGAGACCGTCGCGCACAGCATGTCCATGGCAACCTTCGCGCCAAGGACCACCATGGTGAGGACGTCATCTGCGTCCTTCTCCCTCGCGCACGGGAGACCGGTAATCATCGAGAAGATTGTGAGGCACCTCCCGCCGGTCAAGTACACGCCGTCCTTCGAGCAGCCGAAGAAGTCGTCGACGAAACGGGCTGCCGGCGCCAGGCAGATCCTCCTGATGACGGCCAGCAGCATTGCGCCAACGCGGTGCCATGCGTACACCGCGGACGTCGTGCCGAACGGCATCCCGAGATGCTGCGCAGCCCATGCGGCGCCTTTGTACAAGAAGACCACCCACGCGAGATCAAGGTGTTGGGCTGCTATGGCCAACCGTCTGAAAGCACGGGAGATGTCGCGCTTCCACATGCGCGGGGCCACAGCGTGCCGCGCGAACTGCAACAGCATCAGCACGAGGACGTCCAGACCATCGTGCGCAACCTTCTGTTGAGCTTGGCATGCTTCGTTGACACCCGATTCAGTTTTGTTGTCCACGACGCGGGTCTTCCACCCACGGCTACGCTGCTCCTGCACAGGCAGCCGCCTGGAAAGGGTCGCCGCTCCAAGGTCCAGCTGGTCCACCGGGACTGGCTCAGACATGGCGCCTAGCTGCGCGTCCTCCGACGTCTGAGCCCAGATGTCCTCATCCCAATCAGTGGCGCGCACTCTGCCCAAAATGTGCTGGTTCATAATCCAGCGCTGGTTGCGCAGGGCCTCGATGTCCAAACGCCCCAGCGCCTTGGGCACAACGTCAACCACTGCCTCGTGCGTCTTGGGCAGCAAACCCACGTACGGGAACCCCTGCTGCAGCGCATCGACAAGGCCGACGTCTTTGAAGCCCATGGCCTCGCAGAGCTCACGAATCAAGGGCCCGTGAATGCCCAGCACGAGCTGTCGGATTCTTGGGTCAGCGTCGCTCGCCCAAGCGACTTGTGCATCGCGTAGCTGCTCAGCTCTGCTGCTCCAGAAAGCCAAAGCCTTGGAGCGGTCGGCGTCGATCTCGCTGGCGCTATGCGCGAGCTCGTAGCCGATGGCTCTGCCCAGGTCCGCATCGAGGGAAACGCCCTCCAATTGAAGCGGGTGGTCTTGGCGCAACTGCCACGCGATTTGCTCGCGTTTCGAAAGCCCTTTGGGCTGGCCACCACCGTTCGGCACGAACGGCTCCAGAACATCCGGCGGCAGCGGAAAATGCTCGCCATGACTGCACGCCGTTCCCGGCCCGCGCTGCTCATCCACAGCGGCTGCAAGCGAGGTGCCTGCAATACCCGCCGCGTCACTATGCAGCGCCACGCTGTGCGGAACAGTGGCGGCACGGCGCAGCCCGCCGTCTCAACGGCGCTTCTTCCCGTACTGCTTCCATTGGCGGGCATTGTCCATCCACGCTTTCCTCTTGGCATCCCGCGAGCTGCCGGCATGGCTGTCGTTCTGCCTGCCCTGCGCCTGCTGCTGCTGCTGTTGCAGTGCGATCTGGCGTTTGTTGAGCTCCTCCTGCTGGCTGGCCATGGCTTTGGCCGCCTGCTCTGCACGCTTCGTGATCGCCTGCGCCGCGCTCGCGCCCTTGGCCAGGGCGGACTCTGCAGCTGCAACCTGGGACTGGTAGTCGGAGGCCCCCTCAGCTGGGCCACGCGCGCGTACAACGCCAGCGTCCTTAGGCTTGAGGTGGTGCGAAATCAAATCCAGCCGGGTACGAGCCGCAAGCGCGGTCTGTTCGTTGACCGCGGCCGCTTCCTTTGGGATGTCAAGCTCTGGGTCACGCTGCGCCGCCCGCTTGGCCCAGTGTTGCCCCTGGGGCTGGTCGCACAGAACCGCCAGAACAGAGTCCCCATCAGTGACCCGGCTCTCCTCGGCCAGGCGCACGACGGTCGCATGGTGGGTGAGCGCCGTCGCCCACGTCAGCTGGCCGACTGCCACAGCGACTGGCACGTAGCGCAAATAGGCCGCAGACCACTGGGCAATCGACCGAAAGCACCTCGGAGATGCAGTCGCCGCTCGCAGTGCCGCGCCAAGCTGCGAGATGGAAGACGTGGCCCTCGATTCCCACATGTCCTCCGCCAGGCCCATGCTTTTACCTCCCACCGCATCGGCTGGAAGCCACGCGGGGAGGACAGCATTGGCCGTCAAGTCCACGTACGTGAAGGGTGTCTTGCCGGCGCGCACCGCCGCCTTGGTGCCAGCAGCCAGCGCCGTCCACACTTGGAAGTCGTCCTGCATGTGGTACGGGAGCCCGTCGCACTTCGCAGCCTTCAGGAGGTCTGGCACGTTCACGTCGTCAGCGTTGGCGCTCATTGCCTTGGCAATCTCCGCCGCGCTGGCCTCAGACCCGAAGAGTTCCACGAGTGAGGGATCCAGACGCTCCGGCTGGGGCATGGCGTCCCTCGAAGCCCGAGCCTCCGACCCTCCTGCGCCCATGGCGTGCTCGGCGGAGGCAGCAGCTGCAGCAGCAGCCGCCGCTGCACGCCCGTGCACGCGCCTCGCGAAAGCACGCAACCCTGCGTTACCTCCGACCGCTTCCGCAACTTCAGCTGGGTCCGAGCCCTCAAGGTCCTTCGGACTCCTCAAGCCTCCTGCTGCCAGCTTCTCTGCGACCTCTTTGAGGGTCGCCTCAGGAAGCGGGTCGTCGTCGACCGACTGCAGGAAGGGGACCCAAGCTTCGGCTGACATGGTGGTACACTGTGGGCGTGCAGTGGACCCACCACGGAAAGCGAAACGGAGAGAGTCTAGAGCCAAAACGGCAATGGAACGGATCCTATCCCATCGCCCTTATGCAGAATCATTTGCAATGATTCTCCAAATATCGTACATCAGTATTGCGCATTAGTCTTGTACTGCGCTCACGGTTAAGAAGCCACCGCTTACGGTCAAGACCTCCCGTTAATTGGGGGGCCCTGTCTCCACGCCTGCCCCCGTAGTGTCAGAGATCCACAGCAATAGGTACGGGACGGGCACCCATGAACGAAATCACGCTGCCAATGGTACAAGGTAAGCAACGACCAAAACTCGAGTCAAAGGCGGCTGAATCGCGTGGTATGTTGTTTTGTCTGCAATGCGCGTTGCGCGCGTTATTTTTTTCTACGGGCTCGCATCAACCCGGTAACAGAAGAGACCATCCTGATTTACGGTATCACTGCATATACCATGCAACCCACGCGCACAAGTCGATGGCTGTAGACTCGGGCGACGGCGTGGCTGGGAGGGCGGCGGTGCATGCTCGTCGCATGTTGATCCTGTATAGGGGGCTCAACATGAATGTCTGGGGTGGGGTGGGGGGGGGGGGGGGCGGCGACCCGGATGGTTTTTCGCTGTGCCCAACTATGCACATTCTGCAGCATGTCATTGGAGACCATGTATCTGGGCTGCCTACATATTCTTCCTGGCGCTACGCGCGCGAGAGTGAAATCGGCGCGGCTGCGCGCCTAGCACAATCGTCCCACGTTTCAACCTTGCACAACTCAGCGCTGGAGAAATACAGGCTGCCGCCGTAGCTGCCGTAGCGAAGAACGCGCGTGAGCCACGCGACGGCCATCCTCTTCCTTTTCCTCCCTCTCTCCCTTTCTCCCTCTCGTCGCTCTTCTCCTCCTCCTCCTCCCCTCCTCCTCTTCCCTTCTCTCTCCCCCTCCCTCTCTCTCTCTCTCTCTCTCTCGCTCTCTCTCTCTCTCTCTCTCTTTCTCTCTCTGTCTCTTTCTTGTTCTCTCTCTCTCTCTCTCTCTCATTTTTTCCCCCCAACCATCCTGTGGTGTTGGGTCCTCGTTTTGAAGAGACGGTCCCCCGCGTCTCCTCCTCCTCCTCCTCCTCCTCCTCCTCCCTCCAGGGTTCGCATGCCTCCATTTCCCTCCAGTGGTAGGGAGCTCCACCGCCCCATGGCAGGGTTCGCATCCCCACCACCCATTTCGGCACACCCCTCACACGCTTCGTGGCCCCATAGGGAGCTCCACCGAAGGCCCCAGTGGCAGGGTTCGCATGCCTCCCCACCACCCATTCGGCACACCCCTCACACGTTTCGTGGCCCCATAGGGAGCTCCACCGAAGGCCCCAGTGGCAGGGTTCGCATGCCTCCCCACCACCCATTTCGGCACACCCCTCACACGTTTCGTGGCCCCATAGGGAGCTCCACCGAAGGCCCCAGTGGCAGGGTCGCATGCCTCCCCAC